TTGAAGAGTTCGCGGTGGAGCCGCCAGCTCTTGCACCTATAGCCACACACAATGAAAATACTTTAAACTTTTGCAAGTCCAGCGAACCCACCAACCCAGACCGAATCAACCTGAAAAAATAAAGAAAAAGGCGCCTTATCAGTTCCTCACTCACCTTGAGGCGGAAGAATGTGATGCTGGTTAAAACGTCAACGGTGGATTTCATGTCTGCAAGCCGTTCTGGTTGTGAAACAGGAAACATGGTCTAAACAAAGGAACTGAAGTCAGCTTGAAAGTGTGATTCGCTGTATATGAACTGCAGGATACTCCTAGTTCAATCCAATTGGAAACTGGAGTGGTCATTGACTATGCGCATGAATCTCCACCCAGAGAAACTGCTTTAACACCAATGATTTAACTGAGGGGGTTTCCTCATTAGTAAAAGGAAATGAAGTGTGCTTCACATTTCGAATCACGGAAACCGAATATCTGGAGGATCTCTATCGCCGTGCGAATGAAAGGATGTAGTCTCGTGCAGGTGGTTGGGTTTTCAAACTTACTCGGTATTTCGAGAGATCAATGCGAAGAGCATTGTGCAGATTGTCGAGGATTTTGATAAACTTCTCCCTCTGAAATGAAAGACAAAAATCAGAGGAGATTTATTGCAGAGTTCCTTCCCTCAAAACCGTACAAATACAGACGGAACTGCTAGTAAAGGGCAAAAGTTTTAACAAGCAAGTATCCTACAAGGTCACTCAACGCCTGGTAATGTAAGGTTGATTCACCCCAAAATTGCTGGCAGCAAATCGCTCAGAGGCAGTTTGACTGTTATTCGAGCTGGTGTGCGCGTAGAAGGCGTTGATGTTGGCCAACAGAGTCGACAGCTGTGCAGGCACACCGACGCAATTGTACTTGGTTGTAAGGCACGCAAAGTGGCTAGAGGGAGAAACTTGGCGGTAATTAAAACGGCATTTGCGAGACAAACCTTTTCAACCTTTGAAGATGGTACAACCAAGTGTTGGTATGACAAATCACAACTTCTGCATAGAGATTTCGTCGAGGAGGTAGCCCACGTCCTCCCGAATGACTCCACTCACTCCCTTTTAACATATTGTCACCTCTTCCTGAATCGTTAGCGTGTTGTCAATTTTATAGAATGGTGTCACATTGATATCAACAAAAGTGCTATCCCCGTCAGTCTTGCAAGGCCTCAAACATTAATACACTCGCCTTCACAATCGGCACTTATAGATATCTTTATGTTTGCACGGAATGGAAAATGGGTGCAGATATGCAATTGGATCGGTAAAGAGAACGACTTTTCGCACGAAGGATATTCATTTGCGACTCACGTCATAGCCTGGAAGATACTTTCGATGCCATATCGCATGGCAAACTCGTCGCTTATTTCCTGCCCCAGGGGGTCGAAAAATACTCGCCACAACTCCTCCTGCATCAAATCAAAAGGCGAGTTAATAAGGACCAACAAATCCGCAAAGGATGGAGAAGGTAGTGAGCTCACCGTTACAGATTTGCGTTTTGGAGCTTGGCTAGGCAGGTAGACTGGCGGGTTTTTGTCACAAAGGTAGTTGAACATGCACTGGCACAAAAGATTTAAAACGGTGTTGAGCAATACTCGCTACTTTATTTAAAATACAGTAAAAAGCAATCAGCAACTGCGGTATGGGATCCATAGAACAGTATCTTAGCAAGTTTTGTAGTTGTCTAGTTTAGAGATTCGTTCTAGTACGTGGTTCTGAGGAACGGAAGAGGATGATAATGCCGAATCATTGTGTTTCCAGGCAATGAAGGCGTACTTCAGTACATGCGATTTATGTCTCTCCATTTCGTTCCCTCGCAATTAGTGAAGGTCGGAGTTACGAGCAGGCAAACTCACTTCATGAAGACAGGTGTACTGAATATGATAAGGAGCTGAGTTTTCTTCACCTTTGATTTCGATGGAGATGTTTAACCGAATGGCACCGGAAACTGCCGATTTGTCGGTCCGTTTTTCTGTAATGCACAGGCAAGGGTTGAAAAGTATTGAAAGTTCTCTACTTACAACACATTATGCTATTGATCTAATGCATCAGTTTTGGGGACTAATTGCAAATGCTTGGCTCTGGCGTTGGCTTTTGATATGAAAAGAAGTAAAATTTGGGTTAGGGTTAGGGGACTTACCAAGGTTGTACCATAAATCCATCTCGCCACCCAGTGTCCGAACTTCAATTATCGCCTGGCCCAAAAAATCGTCTGATTCACGAGTAAACTTTTGTCGAATCTTCGATTTCAAGTCGTTGTCTTCATCCCTATAACGCACTTCACGCCTCTACTTAATTGCGCAATCAAGTAGTTAACAAAGTACTGCAGCTAATTTTGGGCATAATTATTACATTAACCTGAGAAAAAATGGATAACAACAAGTCTCACCATATTCGAACCTTGATACGATCAGAAGCATTGTGACATTCGCTAAAATGCGAAATAAGTATGAAGGGGAACTCAATATTATCGCTGCCGAGGTAATTATTAAGAGTATTTTTTAAGTTAGAAAACGTATAGCTTTTTTAAAGCACGAGATGAGGGGGAAGCAAATGTTCGACTTGGAGAATAGCTCATTGGAACCAACCAATGGGAGAAGAGGGGAAATGAGGGTGAGAAAACTCACAAGTAAAACTTTTCGTCCCACGTGGGATTAAGTTCCTGCGGCACTGTCTTCGTCCGGCGCCTGACCTTGCCCACCTGAACGGTCACGTACGGGTCGCTGCGACCACTTTTGTCCTTCCCGATTAAGCCTTGAGCCGACTTCACTGATGTGCAGGATGAAGCAGAAAAGAGTACAATTTTGTATCAAATTCAAGTCCTTAATGGTTGCTGCAGGTACAATTGAGAGCTATTTTGGACATGGCAAATGATCTTCGTCTTTTACGTTTTAACACACCAACTGAAAGGTTAGAAAAAACCCTATTAAAATAACAGTTCAAGTCACACTTGAGGGTGAATCACTTTGACAACCACTGGAACACAACATCAGTTGCATGAAATGTAGGTAGGATTACCGGTAATGGCAAGTTTGGCAGACCACTGACTGGCGCCAGAGAGAATGCTTCGTTCTACTTCTTCCAGACGCTCCGCCCTTGCTGTTCCCTCAGCTGAATCGATGGCGAAGACGTCGAAAATCGCTTCGAATATGTCCGGTCGTTCTTCCAGTCGTCGGTGTATCAGCGATCTCATCGAATTCATTGCCGCCTGCGCCTTGTCCTCCGCTCCATGTCGTGAGGACTTCTCAGCGGAACCTTTCATTTCAGAATCAAAACACCATTTTAAAAACATTTTGTGCTGGAAGAAAGTTAACGAACTGTACGCTTATGGCGGGCTGCATTAATTTTCGCAGGTGGGAAGGACCTACGCTGTAGACAGTCAGCATTGAGAAGACGTTTGCACTTCTCATGACACTTCACACCGCATTCAGAGCAGCGGAGACCCTGTCGCGCTACACCCCATAGCAGACCCTCACACTCATAGCAGTAGGTCGGGCTGGTGGCGTTGAACACCTGAAAGTTATGGGGTGTGTTGCCTGAGATGGGATACGCCAAAGCGTTCAATGTCTTTCGGTACACCAACAGCTTCTGCAAGGCCAATTCAAAAGCAGTCTTTGAAATGTGACAACCAAAAGAGGGATGTGAGAGGTCCCCACAGCACTTACAAGGTCGGCTCCACTCAGTGTGGTACTTTGCCCAATGCTAGCGGGTAAGACACTGGCTGTCCTCTTTTGAGCGGACATTGTCTAAGAAAAGTACATTCACCTGTGAGAACGCAAAAATTCACAATTCATATTCCATAGTAAGTGGGTGCGAAGGAGAACTCACTTGAAGCACCTAAAAAGAAAGAATAGAGAATAAATAAGATTGTGGACAAAAGAGGACCTGATGAAATCGTTTGGTCATGCCGTTTCTTTAATTCATCAGGCAGTTTCCCTGCACTGCATCCCAATCACCATGTCCGCCTCTGTTCTGACATAAAGCAACTGAACCCTGAGTGGCAGTACACCCTTACCTCAACGGAGCGCCAGCGTTTGTCGAACTCTCTTACATCCCCACCTTCCATTATGGGATGTCACAGAAGGCAGTCTAACCGAAATGAAGGTACTCACCAAATCACTGACAAGTGGTAGAGTTCGCTTGTTCCAACGTCGTTCTGGAGCACTGTCAATTGACTGATAAAAACTTTTGGCAGCACTGAAAAAAAAAGAATCGCATACATTAACAGGAAATGTGAGGCGGCAATGTGTTTCAATTGCCCTTTACTCACCGATTGAATATTTGCGATTTTTCATCCGAATTGTCCTGGCGAACAGAGAGAAATAGAGTGAATTAAAGAAAGTGAGGAAGATAACACGTGGAGATAATAAAAACACTGGCAAGTTTCAAGCCTTTCTAACTCATCCCAGTGCTATAATCAACTCTCCACACTGACGTCACACTAAGCCAAATCACACCCCATATGTGGATGGGGCTCTGGAGAGTGGAAACATGATGTGACAAGTTAAATTGTAGGTTTTACCTGAGAAAACACGAGATCTCTATTCTGGCTGAGCAGAGCCCATCGCCACCTTGCACGCATATGAGGATCTATTTGTGGAGGTGGACTCGGACGCTCCCTTTTTTCAACTGTCCCATCTTGGACTTTCAACTCATCCTTGTCCTCTTCCATGCGTGCTTGTGGAAAGTCTGTGGTGGATGAAGGCGATCCGGTCGATGGGGGAGGAGGAACAGAAGGAGCAGGAGGTGTGTTCTCTTCAACTACTAGGACCCCAGTCTGCAAAAAGTCCTCATTGGAAGAGTCTACGGTTGCCATGTAAAATGCTTCATCGGGAGTCATTTCATCTTCCTCCTCTTCCTCCTTCTTTTTCTCCTCCTCCTTCTCCACCTTTTTGACCTCATGTTCTTCTTCCCTTTCATCTTCATTTCCGCCCTCCTCTCTACTGTCTTCTTTTATCTCGATTTTCGGTGTGTCACAAATCAAAGACGTGTCAGATTGTACTGATGCTTCCTCCTCCACGTCTTCTACGGTCTCATTGGATGTCCCTGATTCGGTGAGGGATCGCATGCTTCTAAACAATTCTTCATCTTTCACAGTGTTTTCTTTGGTCTCTTCCCTAAAAATTGGCTGCACATAAGTTGGCAGGGAATTGGTCGAGACGTCAGTGCGATCATTAGGTTCTTTCACTTTTGGAACGCCATTCGGAACATGTTGCTGAGAGTTCTCTTCTGACAGTCTCGATTGATCTGTAGACCCATCTGCACCGGAAGTAGAAGCTAATTGCGGCAATTTCTTTTGCTCCTCGAAATCATTTAACCACCCGCTCTTCTTAATTAGTGCGCTAATTGGTACGTCCTCATCGGAGATCTGTCTTTGATTATTAAATTTATTGAGAAGTGCTGAGGCTCTGTGCAATGTCACAATGTGTCTAGGCGCCACCTCCAAAACATCACTTGCTTCAGAACCAGATGAACTATCAACAAGATCGTCAAGGATATCTGTCTCTCGACTCGGAAGCATCGCGATGATGTTCTCAATGTTCTTTGTTTCATAATGTGCATGAAGATCCTCATGGGGACAAGTACATTGTTCCAGACTGTGCCAGTGATTTTCGTTCCTCAGGTAAGGACAAGAACATCCTGGATGACTATTTGATGCCATGAAGTAGGGATTCCGTATGGTCAAGTGGCAGTCCACCGTTTTCTCAGCAGATACCACAGGTGGAGACACTGGAGTTGATGGCGGTGGAGGGAGATGGTTTCGGTAGATGTGCGGCTGTGGCCGACGCTCCATAATTCTTGCCACCTCCAAATCGCTTGTTGTTCGGATCTGTTGCATACCCAAGTATCCAGAACGTTCATTCCTACTCTCTCTCCGTCTCCTTCTACGCTGCCTTACTCTGCTGAGACCAAAACAGCAGCAAGCACAGCAGCCGAAGAGGCGGTAGGCAATCTCATACAGCTTTCGCCGACGGCTGACTGTCACCGTGTGGTGGCTGCTCATAGGCAGCACTGCGTAATCCCACTCCTTCGCAATTTTTTTGGCAAGTAAATTAGTCCCTTAAAGGGCAGCGCCAGAACCGTCTCCGCGTGCTTCACCTCGCCTCACTCAGCCTTGACTCCTCTCACCTCACCTCTTCGTGTCTCCCCAACTAAGCTACGACAGGACTACGTGCAGGTCTTATTTATATGCAGCGCGAACGCGTTAGTATCGATTTTTCCCTCTCATGCTCCGCCAATCAGCACGCGATGGTATTACGTGCGCACTTGATACGGGCGCAGGCTAGGGCAAGTGGGGTTTCTCGCCTCAAATGCCCTACAGACGACGATGACGACGACAACAACAACGGTTCACGCTTAGAAAGGGAAATTGAACAGAGGGAGAGGGAGCAATGGGTAAAGGAAGGGGAAGAAGGTAGGCTGGTATTTCTATGGGCTGTAGTTATGTAAATTGGTCCATGCCCTGACTTGGATCATTGGTGCAAGACAATTCCTCCCCTCCAACACCTTTAGTTGCAGCTTTACTACCACCAATCTAATTATCATTGGCTTATCAGGAGTGTCTCCAGTGTTGTCATCTAAAAGACAGCTAAACGGTTCAAGTGACGTTTGACGTCCTTTCTAACATTTAGACATTTTTAGGGTAAAGGTTTGTTACTTTGGGAATAGGAGAGATCAATTTCCCTTCTATTTATTCGCTCACCTATTTATAAACCTGTACGTTATCACGGTGAGATGCTAATTACAGCACACTTTTTAAGAACATAAGGCGAACGAGGGCAGATGCATAAATTATGCAGGAAGTCCGAGGAAGCGATTGCTCTCAGTGCCTTGAAGGGCACAAACAGCCTTTAGCAAAGTGCAAACAATCATTTCGGTTCATCATAAAGTCAATGGCATTCATTGGTCTCACCCTATACATGCACATTAAAGTACTTCGTGAGAAATAAAGCTAAAGTAACCAATTCTACACTCCTTGGTCGCCCAAACTACAGGGAACAAATGTGTCTTGGAGGAGGTGTCGCGTTGCAGAAAGTTGCTGAAGAATCTACTCCAAACTGCAATGCGCTGAGTGCAGCATATTGCATTTGATGGCTCTAATGCTTAGTTAATAAACATTTTGTTTTAATTATTTTAGCGGAGCATTTAAAAATTACCCAGTAATCATACGTTATCCTTAGTTAAAAAGTCCGACTTCTTTCCGTACATATTTGCAATTTGGACATCGTTTTGTTGACAAAAACCCACAAAATATTCTGTGCTAGTTGTCAGACATTTGCTTGGAAAGGTACTATTATTACTAACAAAGCCAAGTATATTGACTTGACTAGTTGTCTGACTCACCCTCGCCCAACGGTGGCGAACAAAGCATGTCTGGCCAAATATGCTACCAATTTCTCACATCTTCAACCAATTTTTCGTAGAATATGGCATTTGCCGTAATTTTTTTGCTACTAAGATATCAACTCCTGACTTTTCAAGGCCTTGTGTCGATCTGTATGACTTCAACTCCGGTTATATGAACTTATTACTGGTTAGTCTAATAACGTACCCAAAAGCTATGACGTCCCATGGGTAACTGGAAGGTGGCATTGGAGGCGTCGGTTTCGGTCGAAGCCATACGAGCATACCAGGAAGGCAGGCGTCGGAAAACGCACGTCGCCTCGGCTGACTCATGGTCGTGGTTGACCCCCAATTGCTTGTTTTTCCTTACCAAAGCTGCCGCCCTTTGAAATCGCCGCAGAGCTTCATTGGAAGAAATTAGTGGATTAATAATTTTACCCAAATTTTCTCGAGAGTGTGGCAAGTTGGGTGTAACGCTGTGGACATGTTATCGAGATGCTCTCAGCAGCTTTAGCCAAGCGGTTAGTGAAACCAAAAAAACTTCCTGTTCTCTGCCGGACTCCAACAGGCAAGTCACAAACTTCATTAACCACAAATGCGACACAAGAGGTTTGTTTGGATTGGAGAGGTATTGCACCCTCCACTTGCTCTTAAAAGTTTCTTGAGTAAGTTATTTCGGGCATTTTTAGGGGGTTAGTGAATGCAGTGCGCTACCAGGGCACAATGAATAACCAAATGGCCTTAAAAAATGATTTTACCTTGCCATAATGAAAAGGTGGGGCTACATAACCCAATAACAGGTAATAACTAATTCGATTCATGAGTCCACAACAGATGAGTTCAGAAGCTTGAGAACTACCGCGTTTATAAACGCCCCCATCTGCTGGGGCTATTGACAGGTCACAGCATGTATGCAGTTGGCGAAGTCATCAGTTGGCTGGCAAATCCATTAGTCTAACACACTAATCACTCTTGGAAGAAGAAGATCCTCCTTTTGGTAAGAAGGTGCATTAGAAGGACTAACATTTGCACTCGCAAATGGCTCAGGAGTTGGCAATTTAACGGCGAGGTAGGAACATTTGAAAGCCCAACAGTGAAAGAAAGCATCATTAAGTTGGCAGTTTTGAGTCTCAAAGCCGTACCAAGCAGCAGCCCGCAAAATGTTGCGTAATTAAGACTGCATTCAATGTGAAATCCTCTCCTCAATGGCCTCTGAAAAACTGTTAAAGGGCTCTTCATGGACAGTCGAATAGATATGAGGACCATGTAAAAATACTAGGAAGGAAAAGTGATAAGTTATTCGAGGTACTTCTTTTATACCAAATTTCCCACATCTTACAAAGCCTTAACTGTTCAAATGTGATGATTAATGCACTAACTGTGTGTCCATTTACTTCGAGAAGATGCTTGATTTCTCCCAATTTTAAAAGCAGCCAATATTGGGTTTGCCTCCAGAGGCAAGTCGACTGTTTGTCCGAGTAGGCTACTCCAGCAAGTCTCAAGCTTTTGAAGACGCCAGACCTAAAGCTGCCTTTATAGAAGCTTATTTGGTGGCATTACAGCCACCAACGCTGAGACCAATTGAGGAGTTGGAGGAAGTGGGCGTGATGTGTTGTCCATTTTACCATCATGTTAATGATGTGGCCATAAATAGGCTGTTTTGCCCTTTTAAGACGCTAACGGCAGTTTGGACACCACCACTAGCTAACTTGAGGACATAGAAGTTAAAGCACTACTTTGAGGCAAACCCGTAAGTGCAATAACTCCCGCCTATGCGCATTCATGATGGAGGGGCTTTCGACAAACAGTGTTAACCCCCTTCAGCGGATTTCTACAAACCGACTTTGATAGAACTTGTGAAAGAAGTGATTTAGAGTTGATGGGAAATTACAAATGACAACCGAAGGGGGTGCGCTTTGACTGTCAAAGTTGAGAGGCAGCCAAGTGGCTGAACAAGGGAGAGATGAGAGCAAAGCAAAGCAAAACAAAACAGAGAAATTCTTTCACACGGCAGTCACCGTTTTTGACTACCCAATTGGCGATGTTAAAAGGCGACTGATGAGAGAGCAACAGAAGTGCTTCCTCTTTTCTCATCTAACAAACACTTTCTCATCAGCAATAGACACTGGTAGCTAGACAAGTTGCCAGAAAAGAGGAATTGAAAAAAACGAGGTCGAAGAAAAATGAAAACTGAAATCAGCCAATTGAAAAATGAGTTAAGGTAAAATGAGGAGACTTAAAAATCGCAGTCAACATGATTGGCAGAATGTATTAAGCAAAAAGGAGGCAATTTCCCATTCCCTTTTGGAAAAACTGAGCGATAATTGGTGTAACTAGTAATTCAAAGTCAACAAACAGCCAACGCAGTCATTGATCCCTTCAGAACTCCCCGGGTGTTTGATGGCGGTGGTTGAAAACTACGGAGGTGTAAAAATTAGGCAGGCAAATTAATTTAAATGGGAAGGGCGAAGCGACTGCTTATCAGTTAACAACTCCATAGAAGGATCGGAAGAAAGTTGAGTGAAAAATTCTGCAGCGGAAATGAGCTACTTGTTGACAGCTCTGGTAAAAACACATAATGCAGTCATGTCTTTTTGAGTGACTTCATCATAATCCAGGAAAGACTAAACTTGAGGAAAAATAATGCTCTACGGCTTTTAGGATTATATTTAACAAGGTGAAAAACTAGTCCCACTCCACTAATTGAGACACTGATTAATGAGTCATACGAGACATAATCCGGCCATATAATGCTGAATGTGACTCACTTATCTTTTGCTTGGAGCGAATTAATTATTACACCTCATTAGAACCTATTTACTCCTTTAACTAATAGAAAATAATGCGCTTGGCAGGTTCTTAATTGAAAATAACGAAAAAATTAATTTAAAGCGAATTCTAAGTGCAAATAATCTAGATTTGTGTACTTTACAGCGATGAGATTGTTGTCAGGAGGTGCCTTGTTTCCCAAACGTGTTTTTGTTATAATCAGCGAACTCGAAAACTGCATCTTACATAAACAATTTCATTATTAAAGCCGAAAGTTTATGGAATAGTTGCTACTTTCCAAGCGTCAGTAGCAGAAGCAATTAAATTTTAATAGGTAAAGATTCAATTGTTTTTCAAGGTTTATTTTCATGGTAAAGCATTGCAACTCATTATTAAATGCCACAAGAAAGCAAGTCCCTTTAGCCACAACCTGGTTTTGAGCCAGGTTACTTTTCTAAAATTCTCTAGTTGACCTTAATGTGTGATGCGCTCGACGAATGGACATTTTTGGTAAGCACTCATTTTAAGCGACTCCGGTTAATTATTTGGAGTTATTTTGGACCTTTAATTTATAACTCTGCTAATGCCACTGTTTTGGAGAAGAACTTCAAAAAACTCAATCGGCTTTAAAGCGGGATACAATTCTTTTCGTTCTTTTTTATCTATTTCAGAGCACCACGAATAAACAACAGACACTTTCGTAAAATACGTGATTTTAATGTATTG